CTCCAGCTGCAGTGCAGATGTACCCTAAAAAGAGTTTCTGGGAACTCCAGCGCTGCACTACAGGAGCAACTGCTGAAGAAACTGGGAGAACTTCTGCTTGCACAGGTCAGACGGAAACGCAGAGATACAGATGAAAACTGTTTATCCCTTGACCCAAGCAGATAAACCTTTGTAGATACCGTACATACATGAGACCAGTTGCTGACACCCATTGTCAGTACTGGGTCTATTTCCTAGCATAGATGGGGTTAGAGACCAGGAACACATTGTACAAATTGATTCTACATGAGGGCACTCATTATATTATCCTTGATCTGAATGTTACTGCTTTCTAGGCGTCAGAGTTCATTAGCTATTACACTAGTGAGACACTGTCAGGAGAAGAACAGGTGTACTTGTGGCACCTCAGAGACTAACAAACTGATCTGAGCATAAGCTTTCATGAGCTACAGCTCACTTCATCAGATTCATTCAGTAGAAAATACAGTGGGGAGATTTTATAAACACAGACAACATGAAACAATGGGTGTTACCATACACACTGTAACGAGAGTGATCAGGTAAGGTGAGCTATTACCAGCAGGAGAGAAAAAAAACTTTTTGTAGTGATAATCAAGGAGGGCCATTTCCAGCAGTTGACAAGAACGGCTGAGGAACAGTGGGGGGCGGGGGGGAGGAATAAACATGGGGAAATACTTTTACTTTATGTCATGACCCATCCACTCCCAGTCTTTATTCAAGCCTAAGTTAATTGTGACCAGTTTGCAAATTAATTCCAATTCAGCAGTCTCTCGTTGGAGTCTGTTTTTGAAGTTTTTTTGTTAAAGAATTGCCACTTTTAGGTCTGTAATCGAGTGACCAGAGAGATTGAAGTGTTCTCCAATTGGTTTTTGAATGTTATAATTCTTGATGTCTGATTTGTGTCCATTTATTCTTTTACATAGAAACTGTCCAGCTTGGCCAATGTATATGGTAGAGGGGCATTGCTGGCACATGATGGCATATATCACATTGGTAGATGTGCAGGTGAACGAGCCTCTGATAGTGTGGCTGATGTGATTAGGCCCTATGATGGTGTCCCCTGAATAGATGTGGACACAGTTGGCAACTGGCTTTGTTACAAGGATAGGTTCCTGGGTTAGTGTTTTTGTTGTGTGGTATGTGGTTGCTGGTGAGTATTTGCTTCAGGTTGGGGGGCTGTCTGTAAGCAAGGACTAGCCTGTCTCCCAAGATCTGTGAGAGTGATGGGTCGTCCTCCAGGATAGGATGTAGATCCTTGATGATGCGCTGGAGAGGTTTTAGTTGGGGGCTGAAGGTGACAGCTAGTGGCATTCTATTATTTTCTTTGTTGGGCCTGTCCTGTAGTAGGTGACTTCTGGGTCTGTCAATCTGTCACTACAAAAGGTTTTTTTTCTCTCCTGCTGATAATAGCTCACCTTACCTCATCACTCTCGTTACAGTGTGTATGGTAACACCCATTGTTTCATGTTGTCTGTGTATATAAAATCTCCCCACTGTATTTTCTACTGTATGCATCCGATGATGTGAGCTGTAGCTCACAAAAGCTTATGCTCAAATAAATTTGTTAGTCTCTGAGGTGCCAAAAGTACTCCTGTTCTTTTTGCAGATACAGACTAACACGGCTGCTACGCTGAAACCTGTCAAGAGAAGGAGGCTGAGATTAAAATCAGAATAAACTAAAAAATGCATGGCAAAAATCAACACCTACACCTGAAGTACCTACCGATACCTACTAACGTTCTTCCCTTGTTACTCTTCTTACTTAATCAGTCTCAAACACGCTTGCTGAAACCCAGCTGATAACTCTCTTATCCTGTCTGCACTAGCAGTTAAACTATAGGCTGTTCCAGAGAACCAATTGCTGGCAACTGTTGTCAGCAGTAGGTAAATCTCCTAGAGTAGACCAGGTTATTCCTAGTATTTGGAATCTCTTGGAAAAAGAGCCCCAAAAATATACGGATCTCAGATATTCCTCGAGTGCTGCCTGTTGACACACAACATGCCAATCTTTTGCGTGTCCAATTTCAGCATTTAAAGTCAGCAGTCTCTCCCACGTTGATGTAAGCCCTCAATCAGTGCTTGCTGTAGAATGGAACAGGTGATGAAAACATTGTGATCCCTCACAGGTATATGGGAGCAAAGCCTGATCTCTGTACTAAACACAGTCATTAGTTCTTCATTCTCTACTGGTTTGTGGACATGCAATAACACCTTCCCAGGCTTGTGTTGGTCTCGCACCCCACTGGATCATTAAAGATTTCAAATAAGATCAGTAGTTCGGCACTGTGAGGGTTTCAGTAACAGGCATATAAATATCTCCATATCAGAATAGTTTCTGAGCCTGCTGGAGACCTGGCAGTTTGCCAAAGATAGCACACACCACAAGCTCTTCCAGATAGTAACACAAACACAGTGAAACTTCCCAGGCTCCAGTTTTTTAGGACACACAAATTTGTGCACACAAATTAGCCATAAAGTCATTGTGATTGTGTGCACATTGGTGCTAAAAGCAAAGGACCAGGAAGAACATTTTGTGCTGCATGTCTCAGAGGCACAACACAAAGCTCACAGTCTAGCAAGACAAGAGGCATATGTGCCTCTGCCTTGGCTGGCTCCAGGACTTCTACAACCCCTGTGCTCTGCCACAGAAACATACGTACGGCTATAGTGGGGCCCAAAATCACATCCTAGGACCCTGATGTCTAATACATTTTTGTCTATATAATTCTGAAAACCTGGGCCCTGTAACTATAATATGTAAAGTTTGGGATGCTTTGCCCCATCCTTCAGCTGTGCACTAGTGATGCTTTCCTAAAACAATCCCCAGTGCCAAACAAGCTTACAGCCAGCCAGATTTCAGTAAGCCATTTTAAGCTTCTTCTCTTTCTGCCAGCCCTGAGCTGTACCAGTTAGGTGGAAATGAGCCTCTCCATGAACCAGCTCTTGCAAGTGACAACACAAAAGGTGGGAATCCACATATAATGGTCCAATTTCCTCTGTTATCGTTGACTTCAGTGGAGTTACACTGGTGTAACAGAATAAATGTGACCCTACGTGTTAAACAAGATGGTGGAATACAAACAGGTATGCTAACTCATCTGCTGTAAGGAGCCTAGCAGCCAAGAGGCTGATTCTCAGAGCACTGGAGCCTAGCACAGGGACTGTTAGAATCAAGCTCTTTGAACAGTTACTCTATATGAGATAAGTTCAGGAGACATTAATATTCTGTTGTGATAACAACTTAGTGTTCTGAGAGATCATCTCTGCACTGGAGTGCCAGACCCAGGCATTTGGAACACTGAAAAAAGAAATTGTTAACATAACCTCTCTAGCTTTCAGCGGGAATAAGTCTGAGGAAGGCTATGCTGTTGTTTGTGACAGAAGCCGTCGTTCTTTTTCAAGTCCCAAATGCTGTGGTCTTGTGATCGCTCAGAGCCCTAATTATTGTTACTGCAACAGAAATATTAGTGTCTTCAAGCCACTTTCCACTTCAATCTACTCAAATCCAGCACTGAATCACACCAAGACAAAGACAAAGCCACCACTTATGGGCTGGCTGAAAAATTCCATTGAAATGCCAGCAGTGGAGAAAGTGAAATAAAGAGCTAAGAAAGCATGGGAATTATTTTAACTCAAGGGGCTGGAGCAAGGGCCAAGATGGGGCTGTAGGACAGTGAATTACTACGTTCAAGAGCCCTTCTACTCTGGAAGGGAACTGTGTATCAATAACAGAACTGTTTGCTGAGTTTCATTCAGTTACACTGTGCAAACCCAGCAAAGGCCATGGGGCTGCACAGGAGTCACTGAGGCCATTATTTGGTGAACCATTCTGTTGATGATGCACCTGAAGGAACAGACTCCAGCTCACTGTCCTTAGCTCTCTTGCTCTGTAATACTTAACAGTATTTAAAAGGTGGTAAAAAAATCACTAACCATTAAAGTCAGCAGACAGGACTCTAAACCACAGGGAGCAGATCTGTTCAATAAGAAGGTGTTTTTACACAGTTGCTTTTCAGAGTAGGACCACACTCGCGCATAGTAATTTAATGTCCTATGGGCCAGAGATCCTGGCCCCTTTGTGCCACTGGCCAGTGTAAAGACCCACATTGGGCAATTTCTAGCTATCACAAGTTAGAGTGCTCCGAGGCTGCTCTCATGTACCCTGGGGATCAACCCAGCTCACGAGGATCTGAGGAGGACACTGGTGGCCCGCTTCACGAGTCCTGTGCTGAGCACAGCTCTGCTACACAGGAGTGCCAAGGCCTCCGTCTTTGCCACATGACAATAGGAAATCTGAATACACTGCAATATATTGCAAAGGAAGCAAAACCAAGAGATGTCAAGATTCCCAGAATTGCTGTGTAGATTCCACATAAAATGTACATGTTTAAAGCTGCCAGGGAGACAAGAGTTCAAACATTGTTTCTGCATGAATGTGCTTTAAGCTGCTGGTTCTAAGGAATTGTGGGGGAGCGCTCCATTTAAAATGATAACCCTGCCTTACGTGTGTATATATTATGTTGTGTTAAAATGAGTCAGTCTGTGGTCTCTTAGTTCCACTTCACTCAAGTTTTTTTTCCTTTAGCTGTAGTCCCCACACAAAGAGCAAGGTTTAGACAGTTGGGTTGAAAGTGATCCCTTTTCAACTGAATGATGAGAAGTTCATGTCTGAACCTGAAGAGAAGCAGATTCAGCCACACAGTAGCAGGCAAGCTTTCTATCTTAAGCACCATTTGACTTTCCAGCTAAACTGTTTGTTTGCATTTTCTGTTTTATGACTGGAAAGAGCAACATTTAGACAAATATTTGACAGATGGATCATCCAACAAGTTTGTGTAGCTTACAAAAGTGCCTATTCGGCTACTGTAAAATGGCATTAGCCTTAAAGCACATTTCATTCTGAACATTGTGTTGTAATCAGACCTCTGATTCTAGACAAGGAATTGTCATATGACGGTGGAGAGCAGAGAGATACCTACCTTACGCCCCGCCTCGTTGTTGTGCAAGTTCATGAGAGTCCTTGCGTTCTGTTTAATCTCCCTTGCATCCACAAACACTTTGGCGAATCCTATTCCATATCTGATGTCAGCAGAACAGCCTCCCCATTTCCATCCTTCGTCTTTATGGTACTGTCCCTGTTTTTCTTTATCACAACCACAGTCGCTTAGGTTTCCCTGGGTACAGGCAGCAGTGATCGCATGTGCTACTCCAGCAGCAATGATGGCATATGTGAAAGCTGCTTCTCTGCTACCTGAAATTAAAACAGTGCTGTAAATATATGGGACAACATTTGTGATAGGGTTATTTAGAAAAATATGTGCAAGTCAGTGCGGTGCAAATGCCATATGGTTATAATTAGAAGTGTTGTAAACATGCAGACATAAGCAGTACTCCACCATTCAAAGTTTTGATTTTTGTTGATGTTTAGGCACTCTCTGAAAAAATAGAGCTCCAGGCTGCAGTATATTTAAGCGTAGGTGTTATCCAGATAACCACATACATATTTTTCTGGGTTATCATTAGAGCTAGTTGGGTGTTTTCCAACTAAATGTTTTTTGCTGAAAAATGTCAATTCATCAGAACTGTTTGTGGAAAATTGATAAAACTCCCAATTTGAAAAAAAATTTAGATTTTTTTTTCCAAAATTATCAAACTTTCCCACTTTAAAGGAAAAATTTCAAATTTTTGTCACCACTGTAGTGGGTGACAAAATTCTTATTTGCTTCAATAGGAATAGAATCAGGCCTTTTATAAAGAGAGGATGGATAGGAAGATGTAATCCCCTTGTTAAACATCTGCCAACTCAGCCCTGTCATATTCCAAACAACTACTGGTGATAGCTTATGATTCATGGAACAAGCAAATTTCTGTTATTCATCAGACTTCATGAGAAACATCAGTTTAGGAAGGAAATATTACAGACACTTCATTCTCAGCAGCATCTCTCTTCACATATGTGATCTATATTTTTATGTTTGTCTCTAAGTGGTTCATTCTTTTAATGAAAAATATCTACTTTCTTACCTCATGGCAAGGAAGCATAATGGAGAGAAAAAAAACAACAATCTATTAATAAGGAAACTTCTTTGCCAATTATCAGCATGAACAGTCTTTCCACTGATGGTACTGTGTGCTATGTTTACAAATGAACTAGCAATCAAAGACTTTCCTAAAAGATTTCTTGATTTGTCCTTCGTAAAAGAAACAATTTATATCAATGTTGAATTGATGGGATATTTATGCCTCTGCAGACTCTGCCGATCTATTATTGTTGGACTACTGGTTTGTCATGAAAATTTAAAGGAGAAGGAGAAGTCTCCAGTAGCCTCCAGTTCAAGATCCTGGTCTACAACTCCAAAACACTGAGGGTACATCTACCCTGCAATAAAAAACCCACAGCTCCAAGTGTCAGAACCCAGGTAAATTGACTCCAGGGCACAGGCTGTAGGGCTAAAAATAGCAGTGTAGACATTCTGGCTAAGATTGGAGCCAAGGTTTGGAGACCCTCTCCCCACACGGGATCTCAGAGCCAGAGCTCCAGCCCGAGCCTGAACATTTACACTGCATTTTTAACCTCATGGCCTGATTCCCAGTCAGCTGACCCAGGCCAACCAAGGCCATCCCACAGGTCTTTAGTTGTCGTGTAGACATACCCTTGGTGAACTAGGCTCCCTAAGAGATTGCTTAGTTTGCTTAAGAGCCTTTGATGAGGGACTTTGTCAAAGGCTTTCTTAAAGTCCAAGTACACTATATCCATTGGAGCATCCTTGTCCTCATGTTTCTTTGACCCCCTCAAAGAATTCTAATAGATCAGTGAAGTATGATTTGTCTTCATAAAAGCCTTCCTCTTCAGACAGTTATGGTAAACTGGGACATCCTACCTAGTTTACTAAGGAGGCTAGTAAAGAGGTTGTGCTGCCAGGAAGGAGGCTGTCAAAGTTGGATGCACTGAGATCTCTAGGATTTCCTACAGTTTATGGGGCATCTCTATAGTAAATGGGCCTTAAAACCCTTTAAGGGATGACTTGGCAACTTTGTGGGGTGAGCCTTGCAGAGATACTAAGCAAAATTATTTCTCATTAGATTATTCTGTGGAAGGGAGTGGATTCTTTAGGTCTACATTTACATCTGTTCGTATTTTTGCTTTAGATGCACCATTTCTCATCTAACAAAGGTTGTTTTCAGGAATTGCTTTTCTTCACATAAGAAAAAGACATGGTCCTGACTCTAATCCTACTTAAACCACTGTAAATCAGAAGTAATGTCAAATTTTAAAAAAAAATCTCCTCTTTTGTGGAAAAACAGTTGTCAGCTCTTCAGTGCTGAAGGACAGGAGATTGCACTGTAAAGAAGGCAGGTATCCAAAGGAATTCACCACATGGGAAGACTCAAAGCCTCATACAGTATTCATAATGTATCACACACTTGTCTCATCTATTTCAGGCTGCTGTGTTTTGCATAGATGACTCATATGCTGAAGCAGTTACACTTGTTCTGTCCTTAGGAATATAAATGGTGTAGTGAGACATTCTGGCATTAGTATATGTAATTTTGTGTTTATCTAATTTTACTGCTTTTGTGCCAGTTCCATGATCGTGCTTTAAATACTCAAAAGGTGCAACAGGACTTTTACCTTTGTATTCAAGCAAGTAAGTTATAAAGTGCAAGATTTAACCTACTCTGTAATATGTGTTTTGCTCAGAACACTGCATAGATTATACTTTTTTAAAAAAGAGAGTGAGCGAGATTAACTAAGGGAGGGGTGGGACATGTCTCTTTTTTTCTTTTACTGAATAAAGATTTTTTTTTAAGTTTTTTTGAGCCAGGTTTTGGCACACTCTGCATTTGGCCAGAAAACAGGTGCGCATTAACACATCAAAAGCACTGTTGCAGTGTGTTCAATTTCTGGCCAGCTTCTGCCGCACACATCTTTATGTGCAGGTATATGTCACACCAGGAGTAATCTATTAAGGAGGGGAAGGGATGAGGCTGGGCACAAGATGTCTTAAAATACACTAACTACACCCGCTTACAGTTAGTCTTCACCTTGAAATGTTGCTACAGCACCATGTAAGGACAACATGGGGAACAACCCACGGTGAGTTTTGAAAGAGCCAGAACTAAAGTGGAATAATTTCACTCTACTTCCTCCATCTGTCAGGAGGAATGTATGTATATGCGTCTCACAGCCAAATTAGCTCCCTTACCTTCACTTTCCTGCAAAGATTTAGCAGTGTAAAATTCGCGTTCTTATTGCTAGAAGTACCATTGTAAGGGCTCAGGCTTTAACCTCAATCCAGTGCAGTTATTTTAGTAGTAGTAGAAGTATTTTTAAATCCAGAGCTACTGATGATTATAGCATCAAAAGTGCTTTATAGACGGGACCAGAAACACTTGTACAAGGAAAAGAGGTAAAGTGGCATAAAAAGATTGTTAGAGTCAAAGAAAATCAAGGGCAAAGAAGCAAGTAATTATTCCTGCCAAGTTTTTATTGTGAGGGGATGACAAAGGGATGCTGTAAAGAAGGAAGGGAAAGATGAATAGGGCTCAGAGCAGTGGTTTCCACACTATTGACCATGGAGCCCTCTTTGGGGGATATCCAGAACACTCACAACACTTTCCCTGGGGGAAGGAGGGTGATTAGGAAAGCTTGTGTCAGTGATCCTCTCTCATCTGTAGAACCTGAAAGGTTGGAGAACCCCAAACAGCATTGCTTGGCACTCTGTAAATGCCTAAGAAAGTCAGACATGGGGTGTAAAAGCAAAAGAGCATGTCTTAAGGGGGAACTCTGAAGAGACAGAATATATTCATAGGAATGATCTGCCAGACTGGAAATATGTCACATGAACAATCCTCCAACCCAACAGCTAAAAACATCAGAAAGGGACCCAGAAATTAAAAAAAATATATTTGCAAGGTGGTGACATCCATAGCAAATCTTAATAATCTTTACTGACAACTCCTCTTGGAGCTTCAATTTAATATAAATCTATACAATGAACAAACTAAGAGGGGATGAGTAGGATCCATGCAAACCACAGTCCAGGAGGTTGGGTCAGTGAAGGAAATGTCATACATCCAAATTATGATTCTTCCAGCCAATGGAGTGCTGGGGTGCAGAATGCCTGGGGCATCTGAGTGGGGGGTGGAATGAGGTGTGGTGCCTACATAAGCCTCCTAGGATTGCTGGGGGAGGGTGGAGAGTTTTCTACTTTTGTACAAAAGTTGTAGCTTGTACTGACTGGTATTCTAGCTAGAGTTAAACTCATTTTGACGTGCCCCCGTTAGGATATGCAGCACCCCTCTAGTAATGCTAGGCTACCCCTCAATCTTTCCCATGCTCTCCCAAGCAGCTGCATTATGTCTGCCTCTTGTTCCCATGAAGTGCCCATGAAGGGGAAGCCATATTTTGGCTTGTATTGCATAAATACTGATAAACAACTTGGCAAAATCCACTTAGGCTAAGAAGTCAATTGATGGACTGGTACACTGCCCTACTCTCCACTCTTTCTGCTTTGCAAAAGTTGATGCAAAGCTAAAGACAGGGATGGGGGAAAAATTCAAGCATAGAGACAAAGTCACAGTGAGGAAATTGTCCTTAAGCCCCCTAACCAGCTAGTAACTTATTCCCTCCTTTTTGTCTATGGTGAGCAAGACCTACAAAGGATAATAACTTTAGAACATCAGATTTTAGAAACCTTTAGAAAAATATCTATTTGTGCAAGTAAAGGTTGCACCTGTAATTACATGGGAGATGATCAAGCTGTTTCTGATCTTGGCTACATTACAGGTACAATCTTTACATTAAGCTGAACTATACTTGAACAAGTGCTTCAGTGCTCTAGGAACACGGGTTTCTTCTTCAGTGTTGGACATGAATATCTTCTGCTTTTTCTACTTTCTTCTGGACTTAACCTATGCACTGGGCTATTGGAAGAAATTCTTGCTCTCCCGCACGTCTTGCTCTACCAGTACCATAGTACTCGCAAAAAGAAAAGGAGTACTTGTGGCACCTTAGAGACTAACCAATTTATTTGAGCATGAGCTTTCGTGAGCCACAGCTCACTTCATCAGATGCGAATACAGACTAACACGGCTGTTCCTCTGAAACCTACCATAGTACTGTTTGCTTTGATGGAATATAGTTTGGTATTCATGGCTCTAAAAACCATTGAGACTTCACTATCACAGAGCAACTGGTAGTGCCTTATCTGTCTTCTGATTCACTGGAGTTCTGTCTTTGGACAATGG